ATTCACAAGAACACATGGAAAGTTGTCTTGGTCACACATTGTAAAAATACATAAGATATATATGAACAACTATATCGTTGTGTTTAAAATCATAGAAAAACCAAATCCGTGTTGCTTTCAAAGAAAATCATCTGGCAATCACATATTTTGGTCTTATCTTATGACAAAATGGGCCTAGGCCGGATAAGAGGTGGGTGCTATTTCCGGTTATTTTGAACTCTCTTGATCTTTCTTTCCTCATCCTGGAGCAGAGCTTACCTCAAATGATTACGGATCAACATAATCTACAGAAGTCCGGCAAAACTATTAAAAAGGTATACATAACAAAAAATAAATAAAAGAGAGATTGAGAGAGATTGAGAGAGGGAGAGGATGGGGAGAGAAAGAGAGGGATGGGAGGAGGGGAGAGGGAAAAGATAGAGATTGAGAGTGTGAATACTAGGACACTGCTAACGTTTACATTTCACAGATAGGACACATATTCATAATTCCTGCAAGTTATACAGAAATTGATTAGGTCTATATCTGATCCAAGGAGAACTGTTACAGTTTAAAAAAACAGAGCCGCCAGTTTATCTCCCAGTATAATTCTGTGCATTTTGACACCAAGATCATCGAGGCTTATGTAAAACATGCTGTTGCTGAAATACAATTTCTAGTGTTTTAGTGCAGGGTCAATGACCTTTGACCCTCAAAAAGGAAATTTCCCCCTCCTCTCTTTTTGGAATAAATAATAACCTCCATTCCTGCCACATAAAGTTGAAATTAGCCTTTTCGATTTGTTTGTGCTCATTTTTACATAATATCGTCATTTCCCTAGCTGTTACTTATAGGACATTTTACTGATAAGACGTATATTTTTTACATTTGACCTCATTTTTGGAGGCCAGGATTTTATTCTAAGGGTCAGTAGTTATTCTATGTCATCTTCTTCCGTAATCCTGTGCAGTTTGACACCAATATCATCTATATACCTTATTTTGTTGCTGAGATACAATTTATTGTGTTTTAGTGCAAGGTCAATGACCTTTGACCCTCAGAAAGGAAATTTACCCCTCCCGCTCTGCTCTTGGAATAAATAATAACCCCCATACCCCCATATTCGCCAAAATAAGTTGAAATTAGCCTCTTTGATTTGTTTGTGCTCATTTGTATATGATATGGTAATGTTACTGTTATAAATATGACATATTTTAGAGATAAAATAGTTTTTTGACCTTTGACCTCATTTTCGGAGGTCAAGATTTTATTCTAAGGTTCAGTAGTTACTCTATGTCATCTTCTTTCGTAATTCTATGCATTTTGACACCAAGATCATCTATATACCATATTTTGTTGCTGAAATACAATTTTAAGTGATTTAGGCAGAGGTCCGGTTGACCTTTGACCTCTAATAAAAAACTCTCTCCAACCCCCATACCTCCTCCCTTTTTGTTGGTAGTTGTCCATACCCATACTTACCCAAATCAGTTGAAATTATCTTCTTTTAAAAAAATTCACAGATGAACCTTTAGTTAGGGATACTAAATACGTGGTTTCGCTTTTCGGTGAATGCGTACGTATCTCTACGGAGGTATTGCATTTGCAATGCCCTTAGGCAATTTTCGTAATGTAACCAAATTTAATGCATACGTCTTTGTGAAGTGCCACGATACAAAATATTTCATTCACCTGATAAGAATAATAGTATTTCAATAGACAGAATCCAAACTGCATACATTAGTTGTTGCACGTTCGACAAACATTAGGGGTATTTCGCAAGCTCATATTGCGGACAGAGAATCTGCGGTTCGTGTGCAAAATCGAGAAGCTGCTATAGTAACTATGGTGGCCCTGAAGGGACATCGCGAATAGACTAAATCGTGAAAAATATGCGATAAAATTCACGATATCGTCAATTTTATCGCATATTTTTCACGAAGAAATTCACGAAATTGACGATATCGTGAACTTTATCGTGAACTTTTCACGATGAAATTGACGATATCGTGAATTTTATCGTGAAAAGTTCACGATATAAAGTTCACGATATCGTCAATTTTATCGTGTACTCTATCGTGTACTCTATCGTGTACTCTATCGTGTACTCTCCTGACGGGCGCTTCGTAAACAAAACCAGCCCTAGCTGGGGGAGACAGAGAGAAGGAAAAAAGGGAAAGGGAAAGAGAAGATAAAAGGAAAGAAAGAATAATAAGAAGAAAAGAGGGAAACGGGGGGGGGGGGCGAAGGGCTCTTACCTCCCCCCCCCCCCCCCCCGCCAAAAAAATAAATAAGAGAGAGAGAGAGAGAGAGAGAGAGAGAAGGGAAAGGGAAAGAAAGAAGAGGAATAAGAGGGAAACAGGGGAAGGGCGAAGGGCTCTTGCCTCCTCCCTCCCCACCCCCGCCAAAAAAATAAATAAGAGATAGAGAGAGAAGGGAAAGGGAAAGGGAAAGAAAATATAAAAGGAAAGAAAGAAGAGGAAGAAGGAAAGAGGGAAACGGGGGAAGGGCGAAAGGCTCTTACCTCCCCCCCTCCCCCCGCCAAAAAAATAAATAAGAGAGAGAGAGAGAGAGAAGGGAAAGGGAAAGAAAGAAGAGGAATAAGAGGGAAACAGGGGAAAGGCGAAGGGCTCTTGCCTCCTCCCCCCCCCCCCCGCCAAAAATAAATAAGAGAGAGAAGGGAAAGGGAAAGAAAATATAAAAGGAAAGAAAGAAGAGGAATAAGAAGGAAAAAGGGAAACGGGGGAAGGGCGAAGGGCTCTTGCCTCCTCCCTCCCCACCCCCGCCAAAAAAATAAATAAGAGATAGAGAGAGAAGGGAAAGGGAAAGGGAAAGAGAAGATAAAAGGAAAGAAAGAAGAGGAAGAAGAAGAAGAAAAGAGGGAAACGGGGGCGAAGGGCTCTTGCATCCCCCGCCCAAAAAATAAATAAGAGAGAGAGAGAGAGAGAAGGGAAAGGGAAAGAGAATAAACAAGGAAAGGAAGAAGAATAAGAAGAAAAGAGGAGCTCTTGCCTCCTCCCCCCCTCCCGCGCCAACAAATAAATAGGAGAGAGAGAGAGAGAGATAGAGAGAAGGGAAAGGGAAAGGGAAAAAAATATGAAAGGAAAGAAAGAAGAAGAAGACGGAAAGAGGGAAACGGGGGAAGGGCGAAAGGCTCTTACCTCCCCCTCCCCCCTCCCGCCATAAAGGGAAAGAGAAGGGAGAGGGAAAGAAAATATAAAAGGAAAGAAAGAAGAGGAAAAAGAATAAGAAAAGAGGGAAACAGGGGCGAAGGGCTCTTGCCTCCTTTCTTTTCTTTCTTTTCCTTTCGTTCCTATTCTCCCTCTTTTTCGTTTTTCTCTTTCTTTCTTCTCTTTCCCTTTCCTTCTCTCTCTCTCTCTTATTTATTTTTTGGCGGGGGCGGGGGGACGAGGCAAAAGCCCTTTGCCCCCGTTTCCCTCTTTTCTTCTTCTTCCTCTTCTTTCTTTCCTTTTATCTTCTCTTTCCCTTTCCCTTTCCCTTCTCTCTCTCTCTCTGATTTATTTTTTGGCGGGGGGAGGGGTGGCAAGAGTCCTTTGCCCTTCCCCCCGTTTTCCTCTTTTCTTCTTCTTCCCCTTCTTTCTTTCCTTTTATCTTCTCTTTCCCTTTCCCTTTCCCTTCTCTCTCTCTCTCTCTCTGATTTATTTTTTGGCGGGGAGGGGGGGGGGAGTGAGGAGGAGGCAAGAGCCCTTCGCCCCCCCCCCCCGTTTCCCTCTTTTCTTCTTATTATTCTTTCTTTCCTTTTATCTTCTCTTTCCCTTTCCCTTTTTTCCTTCTCTCTGTCTCCCCCAGCTAGGGCTGGTTTTGTTTACGAAGCGCCCGTCAGGAGAGTACACGATAGAGTACACGATAGAGTACACGATAAAATTGACGATATCGTCAATTTCATCGTGAAAAGTTCACGATAAAGTTCACGATATCGTCAATTTCGTGAATTTCTTCGTGAAAAATATGCGATAAAATTGACGATATCGTGAATTTTATCGCATATTTTTCACGATTTAGTCTATTCGCGATGTCCCTTCAGGGCCACCATAAGTAACAGCAAGGTGATCGCTGAGGTACTGAAATCCAGAACAGGTTTTGACCAAATTTACGGGCGTTCTCAATGACGCCCCAAGTGAATAAACAGCCAATCAGCGAGCTGGTACCAAAGATGGTGATGAGAATTTCGTCGTCGAATATCGAAGGATGACGAATTTTAATGGGCGAATATAGCTTTTCTCTATGGCGTGGGCGGGGGGGGTTGACATTTGAAAAATCGCGCCAACTAATATTTCGGGGGGGGGGGGTAGAAAGGACCTTAGCCAGCCCAAGGGGGGGGGGGAATTAAACCTCCTAACCCCCCCCCCCCCTAGATCCGCCCCTGACACGAATGACTCTTCGGTGAGTTTTTCTTCCGATTATTGTTTCTGAACAATAACAATGAATATGGATATGGATATAACATGAATTGTTTTAAAACTTGTTGTTAAATTGCTGAAATTTGATAAAAAGCCGTTTTGTGGCTTGGTCGAGACAAGTTGTGCTAGTCGTGTAGTCCCGTCTGTACTGTATTGCGTGGAAGGGAATAGGCCATTTTCGTAATGTAATCAATTTAATACATACGTCTTTGTGAAGTTCCTCAATACAAATTATTTCATTCACCTGTCTAGGATTCGCAATAGTCAGAATGCAAACTGCATGTATTAATTGTGGCAACAACTAATGTATGCAGATTGGATTCTGTCTATTTAAATACTATTATTATTATCAGGTGAATGAAATAGTTTGTATCGAGGCACTTCATTCACTTCGGGCGTCATTGCGAACGCCCGTAGATTTGGCCAAAACCCGTTCTAGATTTCAGGGCCTCAGCGGTCATCCAACTGTTACTATAGTAACTTCTCGATTTTGCACACGAACCGCAGATTCTAATTCCGCAATGAGTTTGCGAAAATTGCCTATTATCGCGCACGCTGCGGTCTGACAATACAAATCCTGGGCCCCTTTGCATAAAACTGAGCACTGATGGTAACTATGCCATCAATGGCAACTACCATGGTAACAGGGCTCAACAGCCAATCAAAATCAAGGTTTCCATGGTAGTTACCATTGATGGCAAAGTTACCATCAGTGGTAAGTTTGTGCAACAGTGTCCTGTTCCGATATCGAAGTGCCCACTTGTGTCTGTACAATTCGTCTACACATCTGCTTGTCCGTACGACTCCAGTTGAAAAATGTCTGCTGCTATTTCTAAAATACAACCTCTGACAGAAGATCATGAACGCTACGAAGATGTGTTTTACAATGCTTTCTACAAGGTGGCTCAGAAAGATGTCGTTGATGAAAAGGTGATTCAATATTTTGATGCCACATTGCTGAAGAGGCTTACTGATGTATTTGGGTTTGGTGAAGAGCTCAGTCTATTAGGTGTAGGAGTCGGAGAAGGTATATATAGTTATTTCTTTTATAAAATCAGTTTATTTTGAATAAGGTGGATTGTAGTCATGACAGAATATAGATTGTTCGCGACTGTTGCGTACTACTGTCTGTGCTTAGTTAAATTGTCAGTGAGAGCGTTTCCGACATGGCGTGGGCAGTGCACTGGGAGTGGGTAGGGTCGGCAGATGCCCCAACACAAGAGGGTTTTTATCCCCCAAAAGTATATATAAATATACAAAACTCTTTTTAAAGAAGTAGGCCTTCAGAGATAAGTTTTATGTACCTCTTTTAGCTCAATATAAATATTGTAAGTGTATTCATATTTAATGTTTATATAAAATTAGATATATAAATAAACGTTTTAGAAACAGAATATAGAGGTCTTCTGTGGTATATGCGCAATCTCCGTCTGTCTAGATCCGTGTATACCACTTTATAAAGTACGTCAATAGGTGGTCGATGATTGTTTAATTTTAGTGTCTCAACCTCCATCTTAGTATAGGCCTATACATGTTACTCTATTTGTTACCCTATATGTTTTGTGTTTATGTATATTGACTTTTATACATTGGCCCCAACATGGCGTAATTAAAAACAATTGTTTGTTCCATAGGCCCGCTCGAATTTCACTTTCTGAAGAGTCTTCAATCCCACTACTCATCCATATGTAATGTTGCAGTAGACCCTAATGAAGGCATGCTACAAACATTCAAGGGTAAAGTTGCTACACTGAATTTTGATGACAAATCGTCTTGTCATTGGTTCACTGGTCCGTTGTCACAATTCGTTGCTGAAAGCCCCTTGGCGGGAAACAAGTACAACCTCATCAGCTCCATACATTCACTCTACCACACCGGTGACTTTGAGACGACCTTCACCCAACTAGCAACCATGATGAAAGAAAAGGGTCTCATGATCATCGTTTGTAAAAACGGTAGGTAGTGTATAGACATCATCATTTGCTCCATCAGCTCTTGCAGATTTCTCTAATAAGATATTTAAAATTGCCGTAATAAAACACTTTGAACGAGTGTAAAATCAAGTCGAAAATATCTTTAAAAATACTTTTCAACATAATTATAGGGGGAGAATGTAGTGAAAACTGACTCGAATCTAGTCCAGAATCTGGCCCATTTAATTTTTGATCTCCACCACACCAACGCTACCTCTCCCTACTAACTTGCTACCAGCCGATGATGGCGTGATCATTACATTTCGTAGCACGGCGAGCCCAGATTGAGCTCGCGAGGAAAACCTGCGCATGCGCACTCTCGAAGGAAACCAGCGCATGCGCACGTGGAATCCGGTAGGGTGGTCAATATGCTGATAGTAATTATACAAATCAATCTTTCACCAACTCGTCGTTAGCTCAATCGGTAAGGACAGCATGTTACTAATAGAACCTTGGAGTTGCCGTGAGGGTTCAAATCTCAGTTCATTTCTTTTTTACCTTTATAAATAGTGAAGCAAAGCAATAAATAATCAAAGTCTAATTGTTTGTTACCTCTTTTCAAGCTTACGTAGCTTGTTATGTATGAAAATGAGTTCACATTGGAATCTGGGCTCGCCGTGTTACGAAAAAATAAGACGCGCCTAGCGGCGCATATTTTTTTACACAACTGTTTAGCCATTTTCGCGAAAAAATTCCAAGAAGTGCTCTGGTGAAAGAGTCTAAGTCGTCAGCGCACTATTAGGGACTTTTAGATTTGCACGTCGACAGCTTTGACTGCAACGTGTGACGTCATTTTAAGGCACTGCGCATGCCTTACGTCGTCTCAGTCGGCGATCGAGAATGCGTCAACCTTGATTTTCTTAAATCTAGTACATACATAAATACATATTGATTTTTATATAGCGCCTTTACATGCTCAAGGTACTAGTATGCCGCGTGCGCATAAAATATACATTTCCTCAGGTAGACAAACTAGGGAACATCCCATCCCTGCTATTATGTAAAAATGTGTAGAACAGATGTCACATGCAAATTCACCTGTTCTACACATTTTTACATAATTGCAGTGAAGGGATGTTCTTTTGTTGAGGGTGGAATGAGGAACTGTATATTTTGTCCTCTTTCTTTGTCCGTGATGTTCATAGTGTTACTTCCTGCATGTGCAATCTAATAGATTTCTAATTGTAGTCAACATGGGCAGTTAAGTACGTTGACACGCATGATCAGTCGGCGTTCGTCGTGTTCTCGTCCACTCAATCTAAAAGTCCCTATTATGTGCAAAGCACGTACACCCAGGGAAGGGAAGATGGTAGAATTAAGGGAAAGGGAAAACAAGGAAATAAATAAGGAAAGAGAAGAGGATAAGTCAAAGGAAGAACATAGAACTACATAATTGAAGAGCTATAAGAGGATCATAGATCTAGACTAATTGGAAAGAGAATCTATAAGATTAAAACAAAGAAATATATAACGAAGGAGAAAAAGGATAGATTGAAGAGAAAAAAAGAAGTACGTGACAAGAGAGAAGAGGATGTATTGAAGGAGAACACAGAAATACATAATGAAAGAGAAGAGAGGATAGATTTAACCCGAAACAAATAACGAGTATGTACACATGTACAGCTCCAGCAATCCAACAAAACTGGCTAAGGGTAATGCTAAACTCTGTCTCAGTCGTTTGCACAGTATATTTGACTGAAGTGGCTAAACAGTTGTGTAAAAACAATATGCGCGCGCCGCCCGGCGAAAGCTGGGCTGGTGAGACAGCTGGTGAACTTAATTATGAGTTTATTGATAACGCCATCTTCGACGGCTTGAATCAAGTGTGATTCAAGTCCAATGGCTTCGTTTGGTAAATCAATAATGATAAATCAAAATTGATTTTAGCAACTGTCCACCAAAAAAGGACCAGGCAGATTCTGGACTAACACGAATCGGGATACGATTTTTTAAACTTATGACTTTGTAAATATTCATTGTAGCCTCTCATCTCTTATGATGCTAAATAATTTGTTGTTGTTGTTTTAGTTTAAAGGCGTTTCTCATTCAAGTGAATATTTACGCCTCTTCTCTTAGGATTTTTATTCCTTTAAAATTAAATTTATTGTTTTGATATATAGATTTGGATAAATTGGATTATTAAAAGCTAAACTTTTGTTTAATGTTGAAGAATTCAGTCTCAATCCTAAGAGTAGGCTACATTTACACCGTCCCTATTTTTGTTGTTGTTTTTTGTTGGTTATATACCTTATTTTAATGAGAAGTCTTGAACGGGATGAAGTAGGAACTTGGACTGTCAAGAAGATGCAAAGGACAACATTTAAAAAAATCTTTAAGTCATTTTTTTAAAGTGATTTTCCCAAAACTAAAGCAAGTGCTGGAGATATAGACTAATAAAACAGTTTAGAATAATACTTAGTGGTCGCTCGTTATATTGAACGATAAACATCCGTTGTACAGATAATGAGATGCAAGTTTTAAAGGTAAAGAACAGTATTGGAAACGCCCCAATTTCAAAAAATGAAATGGAAGCTCTTATTACCAATCATGTGAAAGAATATGTTTTGAATAATACATGATGATAAAAATGTTGACGGGAAACCGCCTACTAATTGATATATTTGGTAAATTAGTGTATCTCTTGCCTGTTGAGAGATACAAATGCACGTGTCGCGCACGTGTGTGTCGTCCCATATACATCTTTCTGTGTACAGTGATTCTAACTTCATGAAGACTCGGCCAAATTTCTTATCATTTTGATGATTCCAGAACCTTGCAGTACATCTATGCTAGATGATCAACCTTTTCTGATCGATTTCACAATGTTTCTTTCACAATGCAATCGCATGACCATAACTGGTCTTTAGCTTTAAGCCAAATTTCAGGATTTTAAAAATTATATGAAATGTATTTTTTTTTACTCAAGTTTGTCCGGAGTAACTTTTTATTACAGCTTATTTCAGTCTCGTTTGTTTGTTCATTCGTTGTTGCTTTATACAGATATAAACCTGATCTCGAAAACATTCCACAAATTACCTTGGCTGACCGAAAGCACTCAATCAAATGAACGACTTTCTTCAAAGAATGTTCGAGAGTTTGCACAAAGTCAAGGATATGATGTCATCACTGTTGTTATACCACATCATTGGGACATCACCGAAGTGTTTGATGACCAGTCAGACTTTGGAAACAAACTCCTCGACTTCTTCACCATGGCGGCGTACTTTCGTCAGACGGCACCAGCTGAGTTGGTCGATGATTTGATGAGCTTTTGGCGTTCTATTTCGACCGAAGATGAAAATGGACGTATTGTAGCACCCGCCCAAGACGAAATACTTCTCATCTCAAAATAATTTACTGTCATCGTCCTTCAGAGCACTTAAAAGTATTTTGTTTCAAATATCCAGCAGGGTCTATCACAATTGCTTTCTTTTTTTAGCGCTTGCTAGTTACCTTTCTACCACGCATTGGTGCTCAAGCCGCTCCAATAGCGCTTTGGATAGGACACTGGATGCGACATTATATATACTTCCATTTTAAATATTTTACAATCGATGTAGATGAGCGAGTTTAAGGTAGGGGAGTCCAAATATGAGGGAAGGTTGGGGAGGGGGGGGGGGTGCTGTAAGACTTCTTTTGAAGAAGAAAAAACCGAGAACCGGGGACGAAGTCCATGTAGTAATTTTGTATCCGCCAATTCAAGAAAAAAGAACATCAGGGAGTTTCAAATCATATTTTCTCAGGATATAGGAGAAACTTCCTGTGAGAGTATACTCCCTTCGTTTGCAAGGAAACTCTTATACATGTAATATGATTAACAAGCTGATCATTAGGAGGAGAATCGATACATTCTCGGTTTACTATAAAGTTCTGTTAATTATTTTCTTCTGAGTTATTATTTTTAATTTGTATTTTCATGTACATCATAACTAATGTTTTATTTCTTTTCTTTTATTCTTAGTTTTATATGATACTCATGCCTATTATGTTTTCCTTTATTTTTAATTGATTTGTTTATTTTTTATGTTTTAGCTTTGTTAGATTTTGTTACTGACATTTGTTTGTATTATAAATCTTATATCTTTATTCAATTCACATATTTTTCATGTTTTAGCTTTGTTATATTTTGTTACTGACATTTGTTTGTATTATAAATCTTATATCTTTATTCAATTCACAGACTCTTTGTTAACCAGCCGTTTAGGCTGAAGCGAGTTACCGTGATTAAATAAATAATAAAAATGAAATGAAATCAAAAAACTTTCCCTGATGTGTTACTCTCATCTTCATGTTTATTTCAATAGACGCCTGTGAAGCTGCTAAAGTGTAACCTCACGCTATAGTGTAACCTAACGCCTAAGAAACTGAAAAAAGGTTCACTTCAGCGGATACGCTATATACACACTGTGGAACCGTTATTGAGGAGCACACGCTACGCTAACCGTAATTTGTTGGGAAACACAAGCGAACCATAATAGTGGCTCTGAAGGGACATCGCGAATCACAAACTTTGAAGTGAAATTCGTGATGAAAATATGCGACAAATCTCATATTTTGTCTCGATTTTTTAATTTATTTAGTTATATTCTATTTCCTTTATCTCTGCTTTCTCTCTCTTTCTCTCTCTTCCTCTCTTTCTTAATATATCTCACTTCTATAACCCCCCATCTCTCTCTCTCTCTCTCTTTCTCATCTTATTCTCTCTCATTCTCTCTCTCTCTCTTTCTCATCTCATTCTCTCTCTCTCTCTCTCTCTCTCTCTCGTTATCCTTCTCTCTCTCTATCTTCCCCCGCCCTTTCTGTTTTAGCTGCTATAGTGTAACCTGCTGCTAAAGTGTAACCTGCTGCTAAAGTGTAACCTGCTGCTAAAGTGTAACCTGCTGCAAAAGTGTAACCTGCTGTTTAAGTGTAACCTGCTGCTATAAAGTATAACCTGATGTTAAAGTGTAACCTGCTGCCATAGGCGGCGCCACAGGGGGGCGGGGGGGGGGGGGGACAGGGGAGCACCTGTAATTTTGTTATTATTCATTTTCTCTAAAGCAGAAGTGTTTTAGGGGCAAATTTTTTGTTGCTTATATATCCACAGGGGTATCCAAGTTTAAGTGAAAACAGACCAATATTGATGATAACAATTGGGAAAAACTGATCTGATCGACTCCTTACAAAGATAAGGAGCAGGCACCAAAATAGCAATATGTTAGATTTCATAATGAAAACGGTATTAATACTATTTCCATGAAATGTAGAAAGACTATTTATAACTGGATGAGCAGATGAGTAACTGTGAAGTAGATGCTGGACATAGTGTGGTAACGCATGACGGTCAGTCTCTAGATCTAAGACGTACACGAACAACGAACGCGCGCCGGCATCACGACCGCTACGGCCGCGAGCCCGTTCGCTGAAGTAAACTTCTTTTTCAAAAACTTAGGCGGCAGGTTACACTTTAGCGGAGTTTTCACTTTAGCAGCTTAACAGACGCCCCCCCCCCCTTTAAGAACTAGTTATCATGACATAAACATAGAAGAAAGAAACAAAGTATAGAATTATTATTTGATACATCACATTTATTTCATGCCATGAGGACATGAAAATATTGATCATTTTTTTTGTCAAAGCCTACTCTTATATTTCTACAACCATTCTAAATGTACAAACATGATCTTGTTTGTCCCATGTGCATTACAGCCATAAGAAAGCCATATAAAAAATTTGTGAAAACTTAAATGCCGCAGTCACTGTTAATTCTACAGAAGTGCATATCATATACGGACGGTGTGATGAGTCGTTTGAAATAAAAAGAGATATTCAGTCCAATGAGTTCATACATGCTTACAGGACGAAAAGAAAATATCAGTTAGATCGTTTTAGTAGGAATAATTCACTGTTCATAGTAGAGAAAAGAGCACTTGTTTTGTCATTTTACCATGGAAGAAATTTGAGGAGTAAATTTGATTGACAAAAAACAACAACAACAACAACAAGGTGTTTGGAAAATAATAACTGACAACATATCACCCATATAGCATTCAGGTTAGTGACTTACTTGGGTATTTATGGTCTTGGGAAATTGGTATATCAAAAAACTTAGCAACGACCATACATGTACATCTCAAAATGTGCTGGAAATTTTCACACGGTCATTAAAAAAAGAAGGAGAATATACTAGACAGTAACACATGTATGCTTTAACATAAGCATATAGGTGGGCGGTACCCAGAATTACATCATGGTTAAAACATTACATATATCTTAGCACAGATCTTGGAAAATGTTGAAAAGTAAAGCCTTTTCTAAGTGTGCAATAAAACAAAGAACACACCTTGTTTTCAATAAGAAATGAGGTAAATTTTACATGCTTCAGTTTAGAAAGAAGAAATCATTATTAATCAACAGAACTTCAAATAACATATGAATGCATTACAAGGATATTCATTATACACTAACACTTGTCATAAATACACATTATAGGAAAGACATCAATTAAGTAGCTCATGTGATAAAGAACACATAAATCTCAAGTCTCATGTTTTAATCACTGAGAATTGATCTTTTATTGATATCTTTAAAAAAAAAAAAATCTTTACAAAAGTATGGGTGATCTTCAAAGTCATTTTACATATGCAATCTATCCCATGCACACAAAGTGAAATAAAGATGCATTTGAAATGAATAATAAACCAGAGAAAACAAAAATCAATTTTGATCTATAATCCTTTATATATTGAGTGATTATAGTTTTCACTGATTGTGTATTAAAACATTACTACACATTGGCCCATGGCTTGGATTTCCTTAATACTTGTCCACCAAATAATACATAATCTAAACAAAACTAGGTGAGGTGGTGAGATATTACTTGCTTTAAATACAGTGGCAAGACAGAGAAGTGCAAACAATATCAACAAAACCATGTTACATTACATGAAATTAGTCTAAAACATATCATACATACATAGTTTGATAAATGCCTTCTAGCAATGTTCTTACGATACTTTCCTAATGGGATCTTCAACTTCGCTGATGAGAAACATATACATATCACAGACATACGGTATATTACATAACAGCATACAAGCGCTTTCATCTTCACGAAGACAAACTTTTGTAACATTGCATTGAAGAACACTGATGTAAAAAATTACCTTGCTCTTATCTTTATATACTGCCACTTGATGTGCAGTCTCTTCTAAATATATATATATTTCATTTTTATATTTATATATTATATACCAAAAATAACAATTATACATACACATTCATATATCAACAATCAACATCCGACTCCATTCGTTTCATACAGAATGGAAATTAACATCTCTTCAGTTTTTGGAAGATTTCTCTTTCTTTTGTGTCCATCAAAAAAAAAGGGGAAAAAATCCATGATGAGATCATACATTCTTAATGTTTCCATCCCAAATAAGAAAGAGAGAAGTCCACCACATGGATAACAATTGTGAGGCAAAATGTTTTAGTTCTCAACAGTCTCTTTTTGACTTCCAAGTTTGTACAATTTTTAGAACAACTTGTAGAGCACCTTACTTTTGCACAGATGTAAGCAACCAAGGTTGAGGGCCAGATTGGTATTGGCTGTATTGTTAAACACCATGTCCCAAATTCACAAAGGAGGTTTAAATTTAATCCATTGACATAACCCATGGTCTAAAATTAGCCCAAAATAAGCGTGACACAGTCAGTGGTCCAATATTAGACGTAAGGTACGCTTCATTTGTGCTAATTTTAAACCATTGGTTATGAGTTATGAGGGTTTAAACCATGGGTTAAATTTATACCTCCTTTGTGAATTTGGGCCTATGAGTTCACACACAAAGACAAAGATCATCTCCTTGCTGACAAGGACTTATTAAAATGAATTCCCCTTTATTACAATTTTTTTACGAAAGAAAGTGGACGACAAGAAAAGCAGAATCTAACCAACCTACCAAAGTTTACAGGATTTTGAGAACACTCATTTTGCACCTATTTGGATTCTGTGTTCTTGAAAATGAAAGAAACGTGTTTGTGTTTCAAAGTAAATAAAGAGTAATATTATCGGAGGAAAAATAGAGATGCCAACGTAAATGCTAAGATTTGCACATGACTAACAACTTTCAAGACTGTACGCCTGCTATTTCTGACTACAGTAATGACATAAATCTATGTTTGATTTGATTCTATTCCTAGATCATGGTACTGATGGTGTCCTGGTTCTGGATATAGAATCAAATCTCTTGCACGATTCCCATAGGTATCACATTTACATGCATGTACATGAAGAATGCTAAAGAAAACAAAACAATGATATCAGAATGCACTAAGGGTATTAAAAAATAACCATAGAAATATAGTGGTGGACTTCATCCAATGATGCATCTAAAGAAAGGTAAAAAAAAACACATTTAAGGTAAAAAATTATTGGAAAAAGACAGACGAAATTTGGAATGGGAAACTAGAAGCTCAAAGGCTATGTACGTCATTAAAAACAAAGCTGAGATAAACTAAGAGGAAAATTTGATATTTTCATTTCAATTTGGCAAAATATTTCTTTACAATGAAACAACAGTTCTGTAATTGGCCAAGATGTCATATCATCAGATTGTCTGATTTTAAGAAATTTGATGACATTCATTTCAAAATAGCTCATAAATGTGACACAAAAAATTCTATGGTTTGAAGTCAAAGCAGAATCTTTTTCTCAAAATAAAGATTTAGATGAATCCATGACCATGTATATCCAACGATAAAGGAAGCACAAATCTCTGAGTTATGAAGCAGCGGGGATTGCATAGATTTCAAGAATGAACCTCAAAACCAATAGATTAAAATAAAGTAGAAACACCCTGCTGGCTTCAATGGAGTTGACCTAATCATGATATGCAATTCAGTTTATGGAACACTCCATTGATGAATAGGGGATACAACAAGAACACCCAAAGAGGATCATTTGTCGCATTAAGTATTTAGTGGATGTGACATTCATTCAGATACATTCCTTGGTTTGACTTATGAAAAGGGAAAAATCTTCTCACACTTGATATTTTGTATCATAAATTGCCTTTGCCACAATAACATTTTTTCACACTGGCATAAAGCTGCAATATTTTTTTGTCTTTGCACACAAGTAACCATTCTTTCACTAGGTGGGCATCTCAGTGCATCTATTGTGACTTACATTTGTGAACCTACATATATTAAGTACAGTTAAAGAAACATCATTCAAATCTACCGCTTGGCAGATGTGTTTCATTGTTATTTGTCTTGTGATTGCCGCAAGATCAATCATGAGCACACCAAATAAGTCAACTCACGATGATATCAATATTCTGGAATCAATCTAGTGAATGATTTGGACATAATGCCTAGCTGCATCATCAGCTTGGTGTACCACAGGACCTCCAGAGGTACCCTTAACTGTTCTGAGGTCATTGACCTTTCACTTGAGTGGAAAGAACAACCCTGTTTAGGGTTTCTAGAATATAGATCATTCTATACCAAAAGTTGCGCTACATGTTAGATCAATCTTTGTTTTGATTATTTCTGGTGATGAAGAAATGATTTCCACATGGGCATCGTCATCAGGATCATCATTTACTTTTGGAAGAGTGTGTCGAACTCCTCGATCATGATCTCGACACTCTTCTTCTGGAAGTGGATCATGTAGAGGTCATCAATGACAGGTTGGTTAGAGGGCGGTCTCATCAGGGTCGGTCCAAACACTATACCAAGGTTCTCTATGCTCATCTTGTTTTCTTCTTGTAACTGAACAACTCTGAAAGATTGAAAGGAGGAGAGATTCATTGAGATTGCATTGATAGTTATTCTTGCATTCAAACTAAGGGTACACATTTTTTAATGAGTTTACCTGTAATAGCATCAAATACTTGAAGGAAAAAAATCCAATATTTTGAACAGAGGAAACTTAAAAGATACCTAGATTTAGTAGATGATTTAGTGCAGTACTTCAAAATGGCTGCAGTATTCAAATACACAGAAGCTGGGCTTGTCTTAGACATAATGACTATATAAAACATACATTTGTACAAAATTTGAAATGGACTAACATGGAAAAATACAAGTAGTTTGAGAAGGAAGAATGAGAAAGGAAAAATGGAGAACAAGAAGGAAGAAATACAAAGTAAAGACAAAGTATTACAAAAATAAAATGCGAAAGAGAAAGAAATAAAAGAGAATGAACACAACAAAATTAAATTAGCTAACAGACTGCAAAGATACTAAGAAGAAGAAGTCAAAAAAAAAAGATGAAGGGAGAAAAAACACATATGTAGACTTACCTAGAAATTACTTAGAAATATTTCATGTCTAATTTTAATTTGAAACCATGTCATCCATTGTTTGGTATTGATTTTAATTCAAAGAAGAAAAAAGATGTTGATATTATTTTGAATTATGTACTTCTCACTATTTACAAAAGTTTTGTTGGAAAAGAATTTAAAAAGAAAAGAACAAAACAGAGACTTCTTCATATTTTGTTTTACCCACTGAATTATCGTTTACAGATAGAAGAAAATATTAGAAAACCATGTATATCCCTCCAGAAATGGAGGCAAATGCTGAAAATGTGAAAATTATTATATTATTGTGAGGAAAAAGAACCAGAAATATTTTTTTTTACAAAAAAAAAAAATATGTAGACTTACCTGACAAGATGAGCCATGAGTAGTTTAAGTGTGTGGTAGTGGGCAGGGAATGTTTGGTAGAGCTCATCTAAGGCAACACAGAATTCTTCAATTTTCTCATGGATATTTGTTTTTTCTGTCAAGAGAAAAAGAGAAAAAATAAATAAAAATGCAAGGCAATGCTGATGTATTACACATACGATTGTACATACGGCATCATGATATATTTGAAATATAGGAAATTTATATTTTTAAGAATTACATTTTGAACCCTCAGACTTTACAAATACTATGGATTAACACAATTTGATTCTCTTTTTGAAGGTATAGATTTATCATTCCCATCTGTTAAAGCTATTCCTTGTTGTGGCCATATGGACATACATTGCCGAAACAAATGAGGGTTATATATGTTCACCTCTAAAAGTAATCTTCCATAATTCTCGACCATCACTGATAACTTTTCATACTCCCATTACATTTATCGAACATAATCATTTTTTCTGATGCTGATGAACACATCACTCCAAAAAGAGGCACCGGGACTGATATATTCCTTTTCTGAAAGAAAATTCTATGGTACAAATATTGCTCATTCCATCTTACAGAGGTCCTTAAGCTTCAAAGAATTGATCTTAATTAAATTACTTACTGGTAGCTTCCACGAATGCATGGTACATCTTGAAGGGTACCAATGGAATAGGTAACTCCCTGAGATAAAGCTTCATGGCTCCGGAGATAGCATTGGTGTCAGGAAAGTCCTTGGATCCGATACGCGCTATCATACCATCTAAGAAACAGAAAAGAAGGGTAGCTTTTATTGTTGGGCTCTTATGGTCCACATTGTTCTAATTCTGTTAACCCCGACCCTGGCTCTAAGATCACAGTCAACTTAAAGAAAACTTAGACCTCCATCTAACTTCCTTTGTTAAACCCGATGTTGGACAAAAGTTTAAACTAAGCATCTGGGAATTTTTTTTGTAAAAGTCTTGGTCTATGAGAGTAGAGAACATCACAATCAAGACTCCAATGCTGACCAACAATCAACAGAATCATGGCAGTTGAAAGTAATGTAATTATTTGTTTGGTCTATTGTCAGTACAGTGTCTGTTAGTCTTACTGGTCTAATTGGGTTAAAGCAAGTATATTGTGTTAAGCTGGTTCTAGGTTAACAATGGGTTGAGGTCCTGTCTGAGGTACTGTGCCATTCAGGATGAATGGCTTACCCACCTGCAATAAGGCACAGACTTTGTCTAAAGTCTTAGTTATCCTCTTTCAGCACAAATTATTCTGTAAGTTACACTCTATTGTCTCCTCTGTAGTTTTGGGCATTATCAATAAATTATAATGTTTGGTACTCTTGTTCTTTCATTTGAATAATGCCTGTTTCGTTGCCATTGAAAACATATATTTTGTGTATGCTACATATACTGTTCTTGACAAAACAAGCAATAAAGAAAACTGCCATAAAACAGCTGGTTATGTAAAGAAGTGTAAATCAGGGGGGTGTTTCACAAAGCCTTTTTTCAATGATAAATGACAAAAATCAGTGACAAATCTTCTGCTAACCAAATCAGAAGCAATGTTTCAGTAGCTTAAAACAAAAAGTGTCATTTGTCACTGATGACAAGTTTTGTGAAACACTCCCCTGGTTTGCGCTTCTTACCTTTGTCAAATCTTTGTCTAATGAGCTCCACATCATCCTGCATGCCTGGTATCCTGTAGAGGCCTTCTAGCCCCAAACCTGTATCGATAGAAAACAGCACAATAGAATTCAACCTTCTCCATAGTCAGTTCAAGGCATGTTTTAATGTATTAGTAGTTTAGGATACATCTATTAAACTTATGCAAACTTTACCATGGCTGTACAAAAGTTCAGGTATGAGAATGAAACATGTGAAAGATTATGAAAGTCTGCACTTTCCTCATATTTCCACTAATAACTGTATGTTTGTGTATAGCACATAACACATAGGCATAATTGCAATTCTCTGTGCACTTAACAGAACAGAATACATGAGTGGAAATGGTATACTGGGTTCATATTTGTGAGATTTGAAAAAGTATCAAATACATATTGTTTCAAATTACTTCTGAACTTTTCATGTGTTTCTATATTTCTAAGGTATTCCGGCAAGTCATTCCATAAAACAGTGGCTGCGTATGAAAATGACCTTTCCCGTAAGACGGATAGTCAACCTGTTTGAAACGTTGAGCCACTCATCTTCTCCAAGCGCTATAGTTCTCCTTAGAACTATAAGCTAAGAAAGATAACAAACAGTCCTTTTCAGGACCACACACCCCCAAGAAAGATTACAGAGTCAGAGTCCTTTCCATGACTCATCAATCCTCTCTCTCACTTTCACTTGGTGCACCTGCAAGCCTACTGTATAAGATTTAGTTTGTGGGCCACTAGGGCTCCAGCTTCAACCTCACAACATATTTCTGCTCTTGTGCTTTAGAAAAGTCCCCCTTAACCCCTATAGCAGAACAGATGTAACATAAGGCTTTGCAGTTTTTATATTTATATAAACTGTAACTCTACCCAATTGTGCAAAATTGAATACAAGCACCGAGTTAGACCTACCTCTGCTTTCGATCTCCTCCACACATCTCTCTATGACGAGTGATGTAGTGACACCATGTGCTCTGGCTAGAGTGGTCAGATCAACGCTGTAGACTCTCTTGATCAGCCTCAGATCTGGTGTGCAATCCCTTGGGACTCTCTTTGAGCACTGCTTGTGGGTACTAAGACCACAGTCTGGAAGGAGACAAAAGATGACAGGTGGTAATTGGTTAAAGAAATGTATATATGGTAATGGTTTCATCAGTTGACAGGTGGTAATGGGTTTAAAGAGATGTATCTAAGGTAATGGGTTTCCTCAATTAACAGCTGGTAATGAGCTTTAAGAAATGTATATAAGGTAATAGTTTCATCAGTTGACAGGTGGTAATGGGTTTTAAAAATGTATTTAAGGTAATGGTTTCATCAGTTGACAGGTGGTAATGGGTTTAAAGAGATGTATCTAAGGTAATGGGTTTCCTCAATTGACAGCTGGTAATGGGCTTTAAGAAATGTATATAAGGTAATAGTTTCATCAGTTGACAGGTGGTAATGGTTTAAAAAATGTATTTAAGGTAATGGTTTCATCAGTTGACAAATGGTAATGGGGTTTTAGCAAATGTATATAAGGTAATTGTTTCATCAATCGACAGATGATAAAGGGTTTTTAGAAACGTATTTAAGGTAATGGTTTCATCAGTATTTATAAAATACACGGTAGCAAATATTTGTAGCTCATAACAGTTACCTTGATTCATAATTCTTCATTCTCCATAATTTCGAGGAAAAAAAGAAGAAGATTATACAAAATGGTTGTTGCTAAGTTAAATGTCAGGTAACTTCCCTCCAGTGAAGCCTGACATCAACTAAACAATTACCAGTTCATTCTCTTCATCTGGTACATGCACATCAGATATAGGGGCCTAGAATACAAATATCATAATCATGAATATCTCGCATTATATTGAGGATGTCAGGTGTGAATTTCGTAAAGCATTGCTAGTTTTTAATGGTACAGCATTCTATCTATGCATGGTTTAACAAAAAAATGTTTGCTTCTTTCAAATGATCAAATCACTGATTGTGGATAATCCAAGCCCTAGTAGTTTAGGCTAAGTACATGTATATGTATACCACCCCTGCCCAAATGGAGTGACTTTTAACAGTTTAAAGCTAGGGCCAAAGCTGTTATACCAACCTGTACACTTGACTCCTTGACTCTTCAAACCCCATAGGAAGTTACCACAGAACATACACCAGTTAAGACCAACAAACGTGTGCACCTGAAGAAGAAAAAACAGTATTAATAAATGCTTTACATCATTACATGATCACTTTCATAACTTTCATTACTGTGTGGCATATAGAAGAACTTGGATGGATGCTAACTAGAAATTTATGTCATGGAACCTGTGAAACCTGCTTTAGTGGAACAAATGCATGCACATGTATCTACGATTTTTCAATTTTGTGCAAAGTGGCAAATTAAACAGACTAAAAATCTGCTGCCTTTATCTTTTTTCTAGTCAATACACTAGTGCTCACTGGTAGGGGTTGATCTCTAATCACCCAATCCCTCAAAAGGCCTGTCCTCATCAGCTTGAGATTGCCAAATAGCCCGCTATTTCTGATTTGGGAAATAATCCTGAATTCTTCATCAGTTCAAGACTTGACCTCAAAACTTGAAACTCGAGCTCGAGAAATTAGCTCGAGATATTTTGCTCAACGTTCGCACTCAGCGAGTCTTCGGGCTGGTGAAGGCGCACCGGACAAATAGCGGGATATTTTGTAAACTAGCCCATGATATCTTGGGACGATTATCTACACAAACTTCGGGCTGATGAAAATGCCAATTAACTGGATAATTTTTTATTGGGATAGTTCAAATAGCGGGATATTTGGCAATCTCGAGCTGATGAGGACAGGCCTAAAGAGTAGGTCTCTTGGTTTCTTATCTAGGTTTACAACTCCAGACAGATGAAATAAACACCATCAAGTTCAAATACATTACACCTGTATACATATATATAATTACAACCGATTCATAGCTCATGATGGACCACTAATAGCTTCCAGTCTCCTATAAGATGAGGAAGCTAAAAGATAATATTCTCTTTTATATCTAACTATCAAAACAGTATATTCCTATAATGGAAGAAAGGCTTCGATCCTCCATTTTATAGAGACGCAATGAAGTGAGGCATTGATTTTTTCCTTAACCATAGCCAGTGTGCTCTAATTGGTCTAAAGCTAAAACATATGAATAATCATAAGTCATCGTCAAGTAATCATTCCCACTTTTAGTATGGAGGGTTTATTTTATTTGCCACATCCTGAATCGGAATGTGAATTGAAGATAAAACAGGATGGGATTCAAGTAAAATGATTGGACGCTCCCGACTTTCAGATACAACAATTAGCACATCATAACAAGGTTCAGCTTCAAAATTAGTTTCTTCTAAGTATGTAATTAGCAAATCATTACTGTCTATTTATCGGAAGGGCATGGAGTGATGTGGGCAGACCAGAATCTTATGGATAGAAGCAAAGAGACCTGCAGTTCACAATATTATGGAAGGAGTGGCTAGTAGTGTAGTAGTAGTAGACTTTATTGGACAACTTGTTTAGCACAGGGCTAATCTGCCACAAGGTTCAGAGAGGTATTGCTTCCGCTCCATACTAGATCATGACGACAATAAATTGCTAACTAGTATGTACAACTTATCATAAATCTATGAAGTTGTGAGATAGATTTTTTATCATCTTTTGCCCCTATATTTCAGTTCCAGTTCAAATATTTTCAAACAAAGGGGCACACTCTAACCTTATACAAGGCTATGAACACAATAGTTGCCCCTACATCTACCAGAGTCGTAATATCTTATTCTCACCTTAAAGACATGATCTTTTTCTACCGTAATAGGACCCGGGAATGGCCTGGTATTCCGACCATCAACCTGAAAGAAAGAAGGAATGGAAATAATAAATAATGTACAATATGTAAACAATAAAGAGGGTAGCACTCATAAATAAAAAATCCAGGAAGCAGCGGATCGTGACTGCAGTGGAGGACAGCTTTAAGGCATGGCATGGGGCAGTTTGGCAGTTGCCACAAATGAAGCATGGGTACGAAGGGCATTGTGGACTTATCTACACCACAGTAGCACATGTACTACCTGGTATAACGGATAGATATAAAGTGCTTAATTTCTTTCTGGAAAGAAGTACTGTATAGCACTGTGATCAGGATGCCCTGGTTCACATTTCAATCCTAGCCAGTCTAGGAACTGATATGACATTACAATGCAGTAATTTGCCTCTCCAAATCTACACTAAGACTTGTTAAAGCTATAATAAAGTCCTGTTTAAAACTCCTGTATAAGGTACAAAATTTTCCAGAGGGGGTAGAGATCTAAACTCCAACAGCCTACTCACCATGGAGTTTTTGGTAGGAGGGCCTGGTGGAGAGTGATCAGGCATACTTTGCGGTGTACTGCCGTTACTGTTACTCTCCTGTGGCCTCATGAACGTAGCCTGTTTGGAGTATTTGTCATAGATGGGTTCCTCAAATTCAATGCGTCCGATGTAATCTGCTGCTTTTGTCTCGACGTACATGGTGATAAGCCCGTCGGCCACCAAGTCGTGTACAGTGTCGAAACGCTTGTCTGCGACATAATGTTGCCCATCGAAATAAAGCCTGAAGTGTTTTGTTGCACCAAGCAATCTAAAGAAGAAAGAGAAGAAATACAAAATAAAATTATATTAGATCAGATGATCAATGTGCGTAAAATGCACAAAGGAGATTTGGAATCATGATCTTCTTTGTTGAAAAGAGAAAGTGAGGTCAAAACGTTACAAAGCATGGTACCTGTATAAGCTTTTAACCATATATGGACATTAACTTCACCTTCACATTTTGATTGTTTCCAAATGAAAGTGAATGTACCTGTAGGCAGTATGCTTTACAGGACTAATTAATTCATCATTTCAGTAGCATAAAATGTTTCATATGGAGATGTAGATGATTCTATGCTATATCAAATACATTTTCCTTCACTACGAGAATTCAATCATCTTGACAGTACATATGTATGTCTCTTATCAACGTTTAAAAAAAAAATTGCAGGCTTCTCATGCACGGTTACAGTCTTATCTCTCTTTTGAACATCATGTACCCCCCTTTCTTAACAGGCTCTAAGCATGCTGATGATTGACATACAAACCCAACACTAATGCACCCCGCTTCCCTTTTCTCACCCAATCCCTCTCACACACTTCCCCTAACCCCACTTTATCCCACAAGTTCCTCTATCATCACTCTCAAAGCCACCTCATCTCTGAGACATTCCAACAAACGCTGTGATTTCCAGTGCTTCCTCTAGCTACCCCACTGACTACCAGAAATTCATCCCGTGTTAAACCCACTCAGGTTAGATGCATCTTGGCAGGAAGGGGGTTTAAACAACTCAGTACTGGGATTTCAAGCACTTCCCAACCGAAACCCACTGACTACCAGAAATTCATCTGGTATTAAAACCATTCAGTTGGAACTCTCCTGGCATTATGGGGTAAAGGGGGTTAAAACAAACTTGGCGTATTATCCTCTTTCAGGCTATCATCCTCCCCAAAGCCTTTGTACTTTGGCAGAATTCAGCCAGCTTCTCTGAGTCTCCTCATCCTTCTTACCTCCATGATAACATATAACACCAGAAAATATTCCCTGCGCACAGAAATCATACAGGATCCCCACATTATGAAATAGGAAGGGTTAAGGAATTAAACATATTCCGGTTCATTTCCTAACTCCTTTCAGTCATCATTTCCTCCCTCTAATCAGAGAGACTAGCTTCCTCTTTAGCACCAAACCTAACCCCTTCTCACGATTAACCTATTATAATAAAAAATAAGATATTTTTAACCCTCTCTCATCCAGTAATACAACTTAGTTTTAAAATTAGTGTAGAAATTAGTCAGTGTTTTTGCAATGTCATGCCTTTGAATCCTTATAATCCCTATGGGATAGGAAATGGATTGTCAAGTGTAAAACACTATCCACATCTCCCGAGATATATACCACCCATACTGCAATGATTCTTCTAAGGCACACCATACACTTCCCTAAAACCAGGAAGAAAACTTTCCTCCAAGATTATAATATTCAGACTGTCTGAAATATATAAATGACAAAATTAGTCCTACAAAATGGACAGGTTGCTCAATCCCTATTACTTTCAAAATTGTAACGATTCATATCTTGTACTTGTACATCAAATAGTTTGAGATAAAAATGTCATAACACATGATGCTTCTGAAAAAAATACTTCATACTCAATGCACAGTCCTTTATTTTATCAATATTTCTTAGCTCAAATGTTATACAGTCAAACCTGTCTTTAGTGACAGCCCAAGGGAAACACAAAAAGTGGTCTTTGTAAACAGGTTCCTTTTAATAGTACATGTTTCAATGAGAAAGCACTTTCATTTTCAAGGGAAACAAAAATGTGGTCTTTGTAGACAGGTGGTCACTAAAGCAGGTGTGACTGTATGACTGTTAGGAGCCAGAAGGGCGCGTGACTCAACTACTTTAATATTGAGTTAATACCCTTCTGGCTCTGAACAGAAAAGAGATATGGCAAAGAAGACTAGGTGGCTGAAGTCAAGTGATTCCATGCAATGAGTGTTCAATTAGGTGTAGGAAGGTGTTCAAACCAGACGGAACCAAACCTAGGAAATGTCACACCGTCATGGCTCAATAAAACTGCTTTGTTACTGCCACAAACATGATAGGAAACGGCAATTTTGAATAATGAACTTGCTGCAAGCATGCCTTTGTCTCGGTTGAAATATATTAAGGTCACAATTGTTTTGCTAATTCACTGTGTGATTTTTCTTTGATAATTCTTTTTGTTTTTATACTGCTATATAAATAATTCATTGTGTAACTTTTTTGTTGGCAATCCATTTTTTTCTGTTAAGGCTTTGTAGAACGACAAGAAATGAATCTGAAGGAAAGGTAAAATTCATTCTCAGATATTAAGGTAAACTTTGAACAAAATGTCATTGGGGATTACTCTGATTTCCTATATTTAAAAGAATTGGCAGATGTATATTGTTTTTTCATGAACATTTGATTGAATGAAAGTAGAATAGTTGATATCTATCCAGCCTTCATCATGGTCAGGCCAAGGCCTGTTTTATCAGATGCAGCCAAAATTAGAATGTGATTATTACAGACCTATTACAGAAAAATAGACAAAAGGAATGAAAGACAGAAAGGTAGAGAGAGAGGGGGCGAGAGAGAGAGAGAGAGAGAGGGGAGAAGAGAGAGAAAGAGAGAGGGAGAAAAATAGAGAGAGAGGTAGATAGGGAGAGAGAGAGGGAGAGGGAGAGAGAGAGAGAGAGGTGGGGGGGAGGGATGTTTTCTCAGATGCAAGCCAAAATTAATTCTAAGGTGATTTACCACAGACCTATACCGTATGTAATATACAGAAACATAAACTATAAAAAAAAAATAGAAAGAGAGCGAGAGATACAGAGGGGTAGACATATCATGAGTTATCCAAAACTGTCCCCACATAAAATTTTGAAAATGGAATTGCGTTCAAGGACTGGACATGGTATAACGTGACCATGACCAATGACAGAAGATAAAGGAGATATGATTCTAAAACAGACCCGAGAGTATACAATGCTAAGCTCTGCTTAATGCACTTCCCTTGTTTTCTTAGTGTGCAAAATGAGTAATAGTTTCACTCTAAATTTCCCAAAAAGTCTGTAACCTGCACCGTCTGTGTATGTGAAGATAATTACCATATATAGCCAGTAGGGCATCAAGTTATGTACTTTGAGACAGATTTAATACCCTTCTTGTTCTCAAAATATAAACTAATAATAGCCACACTAAAACCAAGTTTCTGTACTACTACAGAAAAATCCCACATTTAGATGTACACAATTGAAAGAACTAAAATACCCAGTCACATCTATCACCCTTACAACAACGGCATAAGGCATTCAAAGACCACAACTTCAATACAAATTCAATTGTTTCATATTTTTCTTTTCAAACCATGATTTTCACAGCCTACATCACAACATTACACATTTGTAAACAACTTTAAATGACAGACATACAGATTAATTCAACAAATTAGTTTTGTCTACAAATACGGAAACAAAATATCATGAGTATTCTATAGAGACTGATCTACTCGCTGGCAACTGCCCAAACGCTATGCACATTGACTACGTTGAGCTTAGACTATGTGGACTATTTACTTCTTGAGGGGAAATTGAATTCATCAGAATGTGTCAGGAAAAGATGTAGACAAACAATATTTTGTTTCAACGACATTGGCCGACATTTATCTAATTTTAGATTTTTCAAACAATGGGAAACGTTAAAGGTGTCATGATCATTTAATTTTCTCAACTGTTTTTCTCAAATTGTAAAATGTTCTTCAAAAGTTCACCATAAATAATGTATTAAAACTGAATGCCCACATATTTAAATCACCTTCTTCAAACAGCTATGTTCTATTTATTCACTATCTTTATAAGAGGAAAGTACAAATTCCTATGTCCTGTTTACATCCTACAAGCTCACATATAATTCTACAACTTGGTAATTCCATTCAGGGAGCATATTTATTTACAACTGAAATTACACAAACAGTAAATAGGAAATCTAATCAAACTTTTAAACTATTCATCAAATCAAAATACTTTCAGCATGCTAGAAATCAACATGCTCCCAAAAATTGAAAACAGATATTTTGGCAACATTCTTTCATGAATGAATGAACAAGTATATTTGGCACATTGGTCATTAAACCATTTAAATGTCAGACATTAAAAATATGTATAGACGGTTAGTTACATGCCAATTTATGAAGAGAGGGGAAGCCGAGTGTGAAAAGTGAGGCAAATATTTGTAGCCAGACTATATTTTTCGAAGGGTGGATTAATGCAAAAAATCCTGACCATAAATGAACCAATGGAATTAGGAATAATGAGATCACTCAGAAAAATATCAGCCTACATCTACCAAAATTAAAATCAAAATATTTTTTTCACATTGAAATTCAGATATAGGTCCGCTATCGTCAAAAGAAACTGTTTTTGTCCAATGTCATATATTGTGCAGTTTTAAACTGTAAATTACTAAAAAATATGTTTATTCCTATGCATGTCTGAGATTTTTTGTACAAAACTAATGAAAGTTGGGAAATAGTTTTTCAAAAAAATATATATATATTTTTTAAAATTAGATTGATGTATATAAAAGTAGCATATGACACAGGTGTTCCACATAAATTGGTTTTACCCATGATCAGGCCTTTAAAAAAAAGATGTTGTGTTGCCCTTTGGGTCGGTCGGTCGATTAAAAAAAAAGAAGCTGACCATAAATTTTAAGATTTTTGGGTCCGTCGCAAAGGGCAATACAACATTTTTTTTTAAAGCCTCACTTTCATCTGATAAGAACTACAAGTGTTTTAACTCTGTGTTTATTGTATATGAGGTAACAACCTAGTGGCTCCATGCAAACAGATGATATATCCTGCCAATCAGTTTGGATACCATTAACCATCACTTCACAAGGTGGTCTATCTAAGGTGAGGGGGGAAACTTCATAAAAAGTGACCCCGACCCGTCTTTAACATCTGCCCCTTCCCATCATCCCTAGCTAGCACTGTGATGATTAGATGCCCCCGCATTACGCTTGTTAAACCTGAACCAAGATCGACTGTTACCCTTACGTCAATGCACCCCTCCACTCCCCTAAAACCATGCGCACAGGTTTTCATGCGAGATAATCAAGAAGAATTTAGCTACGGAGGGTAAAGCGATCACGCGAAGGTTGGTGCATTTACTCTGATTAATCGATGCAGCTGCTCTGCGCTGTTCAATTATTATGCGACCATTAAGTTCAGCTTAATTACGGGATCTTTCAACGGGATTACATCTCTGGGACACTTGCGTGTCAGGTTTATGACATAAATTAATGATTTTACAAGCAAGCTGCCTCTGGATTCATTAAGCGTGTTATGTTTGATATCATCAAATCCTCACAGAGATTACTACATGTTTTGCAAGCCAAGAGTTGTATAATGCATTCTAATTTATTCCTAAAATGTTTTAAATGTTTCAAAGTGCCTATACATGAGTGTCAGCAGACCAGGAATTTTCATTTAACAAAAAATGCTCTATTTAAAACCAAATCATAAATATTTTGCAATATCTTTTTTTATAAATCTGGTAGCACTTTGTTTTAAAATATCTGGAAGGTGAAAGTTCAATAAATAAATCAAAGAAACTAAATTTATTAATACTATTCTCAAAGGCTAATCCAGGCATAAAAAGCACCACTGAGGTATCCAACACACTTGTTGCAACAGGGATGTTTGGTATAGGTAGATAAAGTCAAGTGTTCTCACACTATCCCAGTCCAAATTGTATGTGCCCCACACCATGTTTCTCTTGCAATCGATGATTCATCACAAATTCAATTATATATTTCAGATATGATATCTCATACATGTACACTTCCTAATCCCTTTTTATCTCAGTAGAATCCTGGAACACCTTCATCTTTATTTAAGGCATGCCCTCATTCTAAGTTTGCCAGATTAAGGTCAACAGCATGTTATAGGCTGTAATATTCACTCTACTTGCGAAATCATTTAGAGAACGCATTTAGGAACAGCTGCCCGAGTTGCGTCGTCTTCGTCAGGCGAGGAGAAATATTAAACCTATAATCTCCCTCCTGATAGGGTCATCAGAGATTGCTTTAGCAGTTAAGATATATTATTAATATAGAGAGGAAAAGAGATAACAGGCATCTTTCAGGCTTGATTGGTGATCTCATGTACCTATCAGAACGGATCTGTTGCTCTCTTCAACAATATGGGTAGCCAGCTGCCTCCAAACAGGCGCCGTTCACATATGAGTTTTAAAACTTGATCAGATGTGAACCCTGTCAAAAATGAAGACAGAGGGCTGCCCTCAAACAAAATGATTCTCAGAGTCGCTAGCACATGAAAGCTCAATTAAATATGAAGGCAGAGGAATGCCCCCGAACAAAATGATTTTTAGAGTCAATCTCAAATGAAACCTCAGTTTAATATGAAGGCAGTTGGCTAAACCCAAACAGTCTCTCTTCCCATCATGATGAGGGTTCTGCTGTTAGCAGGGCAATCTATCAAACTCTTATCAACAAGCTCATCAGGAATCCCTTATTAATTTTGTCTCCATCTCACCATCTACTCATCTAGCCCTCAACCATTCATGTTTTTTCGATCCAGGAGTATGTCCTGTTTCAGCTGGTAAGATGAAGTGCATGTTGGCTTCTAATGTGATTCATTATACCATTAAGGTAACAAGGTATCCTCTGTGATACCAACAGGACATACAAGCATCCCATGATGCATTGCGAGACATGACACGTCTGATCTTGGTAGGACAAGCGCGTTTCACCTCATATTCACCCTGAGTCTCCTGTCTAGCCCTCATCCATGAAAATCATCTTTTGGCGTAGTAGTCAAAATTTATATCACACATGGGCATCACATTTTTGACCATATTGCCCATTTTTTCTCTCCAGATTTTATATTCCTTAAAATGTAAAAAACTTGATAGCTCCCTAAAATTTCAAAGGCTAATGATTAAGATGGTGATATTTTTTTACCAGTCTGAACCCATGACTGTTGGTACCATGGTAGGGCTATTTTGTCCCATTGTCTCTGGCACAACATGAAGGAGAACACTTGTCCTTATAAACACCTCGAACAACTGTTTGATTAGCACTCATGACTTCACTTCTCCTCCTCCTCCACATAAGAGAGGGTGTCAATTATGATTTTTGTCCTTCACACCTTGCAAATTGTGTCTTTCTTTTTTACAATCCTTGTCTAGAAAACACATGGCATGTCAGCATGCCATTGTCTTTATTTTACTTAAAACTCCTAGAGAGAAAAAACTGTGCATAGTATGCAAGCAGGTGAGGACATTTTTAATTCCAATTTTCCCTAAAGAAGGTGTAAAAAAAGAAAAATCTCAGCATATCTCTACTTCTAAACAGACATAAGAGAATAATAAAGACAGTAAAATAATGGAAACTGTGATTGAAAGTTCATTTATCTCTTTCTTTCATGGAATATGTCTGAAGGTTACCTTACTGATTTCAAATAAAAGGGGTGCATGGGGAGACTTAATAAGCATCATACATTGCATTGTATCCATCCAGACATTACTGACTATACATTACTTCAAGCAATCAATCATAGAAATGTCTGAAGCTTCATGGCAGATGCTCAAGAACTTCTCTTCATGGGTTGGCAGATGAACTTTACAAAAGTTCAAGCACTTTTAGTGCTAAGTAGGATATTATTAATTAGTTGCATGTCGTAAAGTACACATGTACAGAGTTATTTCTTAACAGGCTATTAACGACAGGACACAGTAGATGCCTACACGGTGTCTTCACACGAATCCTCTAGAGTAATACTGTCTATATCAACACCCACAATGCTTCATGCAGCGCCTGTCCTACAGGAGCCTCTCGCTTCAAGTTGAATTAAAAGACCAAAGACAGATGCCAAACAAGGCGTGAGAAGGGGCGATAAAGCACCGGATCCTGTTAAAAATCACCCTCTTGAACAAATTGGAGTTGGTCCCAAGATGACCCTTGCTTGCCCAATTTATGAATGGAGTCACTATCTGTTAAAACGAGGGGAAGGGCGAGATTAGTATCGATTAGGAAAGCGTAAATGTACAATGGTGGAGGGCTTGAGGCTCTTGTCAAGATAATTTTCATATAATGAACTTGGCACCTTGCCATGAGCGATGGATGATGTTTACAGGAGGAACCATAGCGTCTTTGTTTATCTAGCTTCTTCCTGTCGAGCAAGCGCAAGAAGGGATGAAGCGGTAATTAAGAAAGGAGAGATGGCGGAAGGAAGAAGGAGTGGCTGAATGTTACCTTAGACCCAGGGTGAAGCTTCCTCGTGCTCTGAGACTCTCCCGGATCAAATAGCTGCCATCCCCTCCGTTTGTAAGCAATCTATCGGCCTCTTCCCGCGAGACCGGGCCATGGAATCTGCAAGAACAAGAGATTATGAGAAGGACGATGAGCTGAGATGATAGGGGCGTTGGATGGCTTGGATTACATGTGAGGAAGTAATAGATTTGAAGAGTGGTCAACCACTAATAGTAGTATAGAACCTCTGGGAGTGGATTCAACTTGTTTTTAGATGGACTGATTGATGATCCCACTGGGATTTCAAGTTAATCTCATGTCAACAAGACAATTCTTTACAATTAAAATTTTTACTTGCTCATTCTTATCATTTTTCATACAGAAGCATAATGCTACTGGATCTCCATTTCTACAAAGAGCAAAAAGCAATTATCTTGTGTGTGTTTTTTTGACAGGATGTGGCTGATTAATATAATTATATAATACTGAACATTGTTGTACATCGGTTATATATTCATTTCCAAAATTGCTTTTCTCTTTATAAATCTTCATAATAAAGAGAAACAAGAGAAGATAAAATAATAATTTTAAGAAATTGCAAAAACTCAATGTACTGTAGGGTTAAACGGAATGCTGACTATAATTTTGACTTAACAAATAAAGTGTCATAAAAAGGCACATATGATATTAACAAAAATTATTTGCAATTTTTCTTCAGTATTTTAAAGAATTAATATGGTGAATAAATATCTTTGTCAAATTTGTATATATAAAAGAAATATGTTTTCTGCCTGACTTCCATAAATTAAGGAGTACATTCTCTTTCAAAGAACTTTTAATGAAATTCCAATTTATATTCCTGTGCATCTGTATGAAAGTTTCCATCACCATTCATCTCCCATTTTGTTAATGTCTGATTTAAGGTCTTCTGGGGAAGCCACAATCACATAGAAGACTGGGGAGGGCCTCTTAGAATAAATAAAACCCTTCCTCTGAGGATACCCCTCTCTCTCTCTCTCTCTCTCTTGGGTCAGGGTAATTATTACATGAAGGTCTTTACACGATACCCCTTAAGATCATTGTTTACTTTAATGGACACATTAGTCACTTATGTTTGCATTAAGTTCCATCCCATGTCCATCAACCAATCATTAACAAGGTTATAGGGTAATTACATCTTGTAAAGCTTCCTCTATTTTATCTGTTTGCCGCTAATTATATTTTGTGGTCATGGTTTTTATGGGTTTGCCGTTTTTGGTTATTAATATAAGTGCAGGGTTACCAGGGTATGGGCAAGAAAATGGAGTTGAATGAATTAAAAACAATACTAAATTTAAAAATTCATGATAAAATAACAAACTCCAGAAGTGTTAATCTCTCATCTTACTATACATTTAACCTAGTACGTCTTCAGTTTTTAATGCCATGTTTGCTTATCAAAATTTGTCTGAGATTGATTGGAGTAGAACAAATTTTTGACTTTAATTTATATCACTTTGAATACTCAATATAAGATAAGTATAGATACAAAGAACAATATAATCAAAGGCATGGAAGTTTGGTTGGCAAACATATCCCCTGAAACAAAAACTTAACAAATTAAATTCCTGAAAATCAATTTAACGAAACAGGTGTAGCAACAATGCCACCTGCAAGAGCACCATTTCTGTTATATTTAATATAATGACTTTGCAGGTGCTTTCTATGGGGTAAAAAGGCTCTTATCATTTCAAACTATTAACCAACTTCTTTATCCTGATATCAAGATGCTGCAGAAAAGTCTCGAATCCTGAGCAAAGTTTTTGAGAAGTTATGAACGTTAATCAATCTTTTCCTTTCTAATCCTCACGCTCTCAGAGAGAGAGAGGGGGGGGGGGGGGGCAATCCAGGTCTAGAAAGCCCTCTACAGTGCCCCAAGTTCCCCAACCCTAATTGTGATCCTAGTTGTGATACAGACTTGTTATCAATAATTGCAGGTTTTATATTCTTCCTCTCTCATATTGTGTGATAACCCGTGCACGAGTATTCTCTAGTCATTTCCCTTATCAAGATACCCCCTCCCCTAGGAGCTACGATCATGTAACTTTATTTTATAGCGGATGATGTCATTCTTTAGTACGTGCCTACTTGCAATAGGCAGACCTGGATGCTTTGAATAATCCAAATTGATTTTTTTTTTAACATACCAAATGCGAGACATGGACTTTGTCTACCAGTTTGGATATTACTGGAAAATTGTAGGGAACATGTAGCTTAAAGAAAGACATAAGTTATAGTGCGCACATCAATATATTATTCTTTTGGGAGGGGGAGGGGTGCTTAGCTACATGTATACCATGGTTCCATGTCTAATGACATGCCAAAATTCATATCTTGCCTCTGAAACTTATAACAATTTTCAGCTGAAAAATAAGTATGATCATTAAAATTGAGGAACAAAAAGTAGATATTGAAATCAAGTTAAAAATTCTTTGTGCAAGTTTGTGCTAGAAGAAGGGGTCTAGGTGAGGTTAATATAGAGATAATTACCAAAACAAGTTGTTTGGAAGTTACCCCCCTCTTGGATGGTAATAACTCTTGTTTGGTGGAAATTGTAGAAGGAAATACCCCACTGGGTGATGGTACAGCCCTTCTATATGGGGTCTATAATAGGCTTAATTTAAGCACATTACACCACCTTGTACATGTACTTAAACCTTTTAAAAGTGCACTCATGTGAGCATACATGTCACTGCAACCAATGTGAATATAGGTACATTGGATTAGGAAAAAGAGTAAATCAGTTTGAATGAAAACTAATTTCTCTTTAAACAAAAGTACACCCAATACACACTATCAAAAAAGGGTTACCAGTAGAATCACCTGAGTACTTGAACCTGAATCACCTTAAAGATTAAAAGAAACAAAATTGCCATTATCATGGCTGGAATGCTCCCCATGGAGTGAAAAATATGCACACATTGAGTGCGGACAAGTATTGAATCCAATGACCTGGGTAATAGTATATCTGTAAAGCGCTATATAAAAGCGGAATATTATCATTATTATTATTATTTTCATTAGGAAGATTGCATTATTTGAGAAGATTGATTTATTCTAATAATGAATGACTACTTACTCATCTCCATAATGTGGTGGGCCATAGACTCCTATCGACTGGCAAGGGATTAATCTGGGCTTGGGTGCTTCTAACTGTAGATGATATACTGCAAAGATTCAAACAACAAAGAAAATAAAAGGTAATTAATATAATTCTAAGAATTTAAACAAAACAAATCGTCAGTGTTGTATTTCTTCACACATCAAAGTAAGGATAAGGATAAAGAAAGAAAAATTTATACCGGTATACCGTACAATAATGAACTTGCCCAAATATATAATGATTTTTTATGATAACATACCAAAACTGAATTTTGGGCAATAACATTCACATGCTGAATAAAAGGAGAATGGTGATGAAATAATTATTGGATTATTATAGCACCTTTTCCAGAGGATGGAAGGCGCTGGTTCTGAAAACATTTCCACAAACATTTTATTTCGGTTTCTTGTATTGATCAATTACATGATTTGTTCGAAAGTCTTTTGCTTTGTTCTAATAATGTTAGAACTCATAAACATAGCCACACAAATAATTACTCATAGACTAAATACTTTGTCATATATTTTTTCTGAATGTCTCTCAAAATAGAGATCATCACAGCTAAGAGAATACAAACCAAGCTGAGTTTGTTTGCAAATGAACAGAATTCTACACTTACAGATATATGTACACACTTGTATTATGGAGCAACTGACATCAGAGTCTCTTTTAAATTACTCCATACTTTCACCCATTTCAAACATTGTGGCCTCAGAAAAATTCCATATTTGCCTGAGATATAAAAATATCCAAGTTACAGAAGAGCTTATCTCCTGCCCTGCACACACCCAGTATAAATCCACTCTCTCCGCTTCTTAGAACAATTTGATTACCCCCTAGCTTTCCCTTCTTCAACAAGCTTACTCCCTGAGCAACAAATCCTAGAGATTCGTCAACAATTTCATCTCTTTCTGACTAAAACTTGTTTTGCACATTTCAAGCACATGTTCACAAATACATTATGACTGCTAAGGAAAAAATACAGGCAGATATTTCGGGTTACATTATACCATTGAACAGTCTATCCCATTTTGTTCAATTTAACAGCTGGTGAAAAGTGCTCCTATATATGAGAAGACTTTGGGAAATCGGATTTAGGGAACAGAGTATTTTGGAAAAAAAGATCACAATTAAATTTGAAACTGGTTCTGATTTGACATTGACAGTAAATGGGCGAAAATTCCCAGAAAGAATATTTGTAAAAGTAATTCTACATACGTGGATAAAGTAATTCTACATATGTAGATAAATTGTACAATTGAATGTTTGAGATAAAACAAAAAAGATAAAGTCATTTTCTCTCTAAAGGAACATCTACCGGTATTCTAAAATCACAAGATTAACTTCAAGTGATTGCCCCATCCTTCCTGGGTGGTGTCATAAGGTAACACCCTTACATCATCCTCAACTACCTGTAGACCCTTCGACCAAGTTCAAGAAACTAAATCGGCTCTTGATGTTTATTACAAACAATTCACAGTTACCACAGGCCCCGAGGGGAAAATTAACTTATCGCTTACGACAAAATGCCCTGCTAGAAACCCGACACATTAATCTATCATTACCACAAGTTGAACGGCCACGCTTTCGTTACGATCGAGCGGAGAAGAAAAATAGCGGGGAGGATGCTAGGTAATTGGGAGGGCCGTTCGGAACGACAGCGTAGGAACGGCGTCAAAACAGTAACGTTAACGAAAGAAAACAGACATTTTCCAATAAATGCCCTCTGTATATTATTTCTTTTGATTTATTGCATGCATGGATGAAATCAAGTGATGATATCTAACAGGATATCATCAAATAGTATAAAACAGAACCAACTCACTTAGTCTAAAAATATCTCAAAATGCTTTCATGATTTCATGATAGATACTTTGTAGGACTAGCATCACACAAAAGAATTTCTTCATACCAGGAATTAATTACTAAACCTGGGTATGGAGTGACAACTAAAGAAGCAGGCCTTGTTGAGAGGGAATATCAAACAACAGACAGGTACGAGAAGCTGTCACTTCTTCAGTAATACTCAAAGTTCCTGTGTTCCAGTGCAAATTTTCACTCTGATTAAAATTCAATTTAGAGATGACGTGCTATTTTAAGTATATTGCCTCTGATATCAAAAGGGTTCATATACAACTACTCAGATGTATTTAATTGAATTGAATTGAATTCGCATTTATTTCATTCTCGATTAAAAATTACACTGATACAAAAGATACAAAATTATTCATGAACAAATTTAGAAATGAAATGGGAACTACATAAATAAAGCCCTTAGGCAAATATAAACATAAGATAAGTAACTATACTTATTTGAGATAAAGAAACTGCTTCAACTTTTTTTTGAAGGAATTAATTGACTTGCAATCAGAAACATCTTTGGGGATGGAGTTCCAAATCACAGGGAAATTATGACGTACTGATTTTATTACCTTATTTGTTTTTACTGGCCATAAGTGAAAAGAATCTATAAAACGGGTATTGTGGTTATGTATCTGGTGATTAAGAGTAAACATCTGAAAAATATTAACAGGTAATTTATTTTGAAAGTAAAAGAAACCAAGGAGGGCAATGGAGTAATAGTACAAATCAAAAATATTAAGAGATTTCAATTTTCTAAACAGTGGGGCAGAATGGGCACGATAATGACATCCAAGGCATATGCGAAGGGCTTTTTTTTTGCAATTTAAATAATTTATCTAATTTAGTTCAAATACAATTACCCCAAACAGCAACACAATAATTTAAATATGAGATCATAAACCTAACAAACAGTTTACCTAAATGAAACATCTTTACATTTGAATTTAAAATCAAGTCATATTCGGTAGCTTCTAGAATGCAATGACCTTCTTTCTTAAATCCAATTGTTTCTATTTTCCCAAAGTTCCAAAGATTTAACTCCAAATCAAATCATAAATAAATGTCTACATTTAACTGGTAGCACAGTTCAGAAATTTAAGCACAGTAGTGCATTTGAAGGGCAAACTGTAATTCAAGCATTTCAAATAAAAAGAAAGTGGAAAACAGTTTTTCACAATCTGTACTGTATTCTGTACCATTTAAGGTCATCTTTAAGAACATATAAATCATATTTCAACTTGCCTCTAAGCAGTTCATAGAGTAACTTTTCCACATTTAGGATTTACTAATTAATATTGGAGTGGGCAGAGTAAAGACGACTCATCATAATCTATCTGGAGCCAACCGAACACAGACTTGACAAGCCAATCACTCGCCGAGACTTCCCCGGTACCCCGAACTCCAAGCCGGGGAATTAAAAGCAGAAATGAGCTGGCCAGATTAGCGCTGTCCGTATCAGAGTCGCACATGCAGAACCCTCGCCGAACTCTCCCTACCCCTCATGATGACATCACCTTGTTGAGGAAATTTGTTGAATTTGCTCACAGAAAATTGAATTTGCAAACCAATTTAGCCGAGTGGGATTTATATATGTCAATGCCTTGAACTAGCAATCTAAATTTGTTTAGTAACTTAAAATTATAATCTGGGTATTGAGATTTTCACATTGGTGATAATAAGTAAGATTCCAAATAAGATTTTATTACAAATATTAGTTTAAAATCTGAATACTTTAACTCTATGAAAAACAGAAGTGCTCCTAAGACTTTTATGTATCAAATAAATTAGGAAAACAAGGAAGCAAACAGATGCATATGAAATTATGAATGATAAGAATTATAGGAAGAACAACATTTATGTTTAACCCTGCAAAGTTTAATATAATCCAAGTATTTTCTGCACTGTTTATATTTTGGGGGAAAGAAATTCCCCCTCTCTTTGAAATTCAGAGTGGATTCTTACATTTTGAAGTTGGATATCATGTAACACTAAATACGATGAAAAAAGGGTACATTCATGGAGCCACAGCTGTAGCCTCAGTCTCAAGAAATCATATTTTTTATTTACATAATCATCCTTGTAGACATGGTGGCAGAGTAAGAATTCAACACTTCAGCAAAATACCTTTATATGCTCAAAGTTACTTCATATCACTGATAGGACAAATTTCTTTAATAAAAATAATATGGACACATTTATTCATTAAAAAATGACTCTCCATAAAATGACATATTAAGTTTTTTATATACTCATCATAAGTTATAAGCTTATAATCATAACTGAAGTCCCACTTCTTGAATAAAAGTATAACTAACATTCTTTGAAAAAAAGATGAAATTGATTGCTAACATAATTCAAACACTTAGCTTTTTGAAATATGCTGCTATTATAGTGATACCCAATTGTTAAGACACTTAAACAAAACAAACATTTGTTGATACCATCAATAAACTCAAGATTAATAATAACCTTTCTATCTGTTCAGCTCTTTTGGGACTTTACTTTAGAAATTCACATGACTGTTAAAATTATTGCAAACATATATTTTTTTAATATACTATAAATATAAAAATCTAGAAAAGCAATTCCCAAAATATTTTGTTTGCTTCTCTCTCTGGAAAGCAACACATAACATGGAATTCAAAAGTAGTTCAAAATGAAGTACTCAGTAAAAAACACATGAAATAGGAGTATCTACATATATACATGTAGCATAACCCAAAATTAATCTGTTATAATAATATAAATCAGACTTTTATCTACTAGTGTATATTACATAGCTGGACTTCAATATTTCTCTTCCATGATTCTTATGTTGAAACTATAGGTGTAGCGATCACTAGCGAACCATCTGAAGTATATTCTTAAATTTGTATGCAATTTCATGCAATTTATCAGACTTTCAAAGATCCATGGAAGTTTTGAGAAGCTGCACTAAGTTCTAAAGAAGGAACAAGTTATAATTATATTTCTCTTTCATTAATTTTCTTTTCCCTTAAAGCAGAGCAATCTGAAAAGATATCAAATCATTGATATATTTATGAGCATATAGGTGAAAATCATCCAAATACCATTTAGAAATAGTCATGCAGAATATTACAATAATAAGATCACATGCATGAATCTTACATTTCTGTTTGACTTGGTTCCTCTTCTTGGTCATCGTCAGGTAGTCTTTCACCTCATGAAGATAATTGAGCGTGTTGCTACGGAAACGAGGAACATTCTCATCGTAATCGATGGGAGGCGGTGGGTTGGTATACTCAGGGCTAGGTGGCTGGTAGAACGGAGGTGGACTGGAAGGGGGGCTGTAGGAGGGCGGGTCCATCATGGGCTGGGGTACTCTAGGAAGGGTGCTAACCATACTCCACAGGGGCGGCGGTGGTATGAAGGGCACCTGAGGGGCGTAGGAGTTGAGACTCTCAAAAAGTTTGGCCTTCTCGGAGTCCAGTGGAATTATGAGAGGCCCATCCTTGTTATCATCAAATGGAAGCTTCTCCTTCTCTGGTTTCTTCACGGGGATGATGTAAGGTGAGTTATCAAGGAAAGACGTCTCGATCATGATGGGCTTGGGGTATTGTTTTCTGGGCGCTGGTGTCCTTGGATCTGGGACTGGTCCCCGGTTTTTGTCGGGAGATTCTGTAGGCTTTGTCCTGTTCTGGTAACGTTGCAGTCTTCTTGATTTAGTTATATCCAGCAAGTCTGTGAATTTGAAAGGAGGTGGCGTCACTCCTGTCGTGTTTGTTTCTATTGTTTTCAGTTCAACTGTCTTTACCTCCTCTTCGCTCTCTTTTCCCAAATTCTTTTCAGCCTCTCTGTTGTCCATGTTAGTCACTCTAGCGCATGGTGAGTTGACCTTTTTCTCGACATTTTCCTCCCAGACTTTGTCCTTTTCCTCCTTTCTTTTCTTCTGCCTCTCCAACGGAATTGGCTTGATACCTGTCTTTTTAGGAGTGTTCTCGATGTCTTTAGACCCGGTCTTTGACAGCTCCGGCAGGTAGGATTGCCTGGACAGAAAGGCAATGATATCCCCAAAGTCCGCAACTTTCGGGAAATACTTAAGCTGAGCATCGCCAGTGGGCTTAAGTGGCTGGTCACGCTTAGACAATAATTTAATACTTGGACAACTAGATAATGAATTTGCAACATCCTTCATATTACTAGCGTCACCAGTCCGCTGTGACCGCAGGGTCGCGTTGGACACGCACGTGGGATGAACCATCTTGAGTTTGTCTCTCGCTCACCCGGCCGGTCGATCAAGAAGCAAGAGTCTCTGACGGCTGATTTAATTTATTGCTGCTGCTCTCAACTAGACAAGATTTGAGAATGTGAATGACACACCAGGGTGTCTGCTGAGCTCGCTCTCTCTCTCTCTCGTCCGATATTTGAGGAGTCAAGCAGCAGTCATGAGGTTACCAGCAGTGTACAAGATCATGTGGCCAATCGAGAGCAAAGCCTGCGCACTACGGCCTGTCCACGCTAGTCTTAAAACCAGGCTGGATAGTAATGCTGACCTCTTTAAAACTTATGACCATGGAGCATCCACCGCACTAAGAAAAATATAAAACACCACTTTCACACAGAAGCTCTTTTATCTGCACAGACTTTGAACCGATCCCGATAATTGATAAATCCAACATCGACCGGTAGCCTGTTCTCCCCCAAACTACTTTGAGGAAAAATTCTATAATTTCTCTCCCCTTAACTTTCAAATCCTCTTTATATATGCGTGGCACAGTCTTATCAACAAGACTAATTCACAACTTCATGAAGGGGATAACTTCTTCCTCAATCCAGGGTGATAGGTTCAGGGATGGACTTAGAATCTTACCCCCTCACTATACACCCTTCCAACGCACCCCTCTTGAGCTCTCTTGTTCCCAGGCCTACCTCTGATATCTCCCCCGAACACTCCCCCGTAGACTGATTGCTCTCAATCGCTGTGGGATAATCGTATCTTGACCTTCCACTACTTCTCAGACATTCAAATACCTCCATGTACAGGTTGAGCTCAGGTTGTAATCCAATTTCTTTTATCCATCCAATAAAGGAATATGGACACATACTGTGTGACATGTAGGGCAAAAGTTTATGGAAAGGTGAAAATACAGGTAAGAACTAAGACATTCTCTTAACATGACATAATGTGCAGGCAGAAGGGCATGGATATATGCACAGCCAGCAGATACCGGTAAACAAAAGTTCACTTTATATAAAATGTACCGGTACTGCATTTATCACTCATCTGGGCCCCTCTTTAACAAAACGTACAAAATGAACACTTTTCAGTGTGTTTAAACAAGGTAGTAAAAGGTGATCTAATACACTCTCCGCTTGATTTAAATACAAAAAACTTGAAATGTTTAGTCATTATATGGTAGTTTTAAGGATGTTTAACATGTAGCAATTTGCTGATATTTATTTATTTATTTATGAAAACATCCTTTAACAGGATAACATTGATCAGCTCGCAGGTTGTTTTACATAATGGTCCTGCTTACTACTTCCTTTGTATATAAGATCAATTTGTAAATTGTTAGTGTCTTTAATAATGTAAGATTCTTTTGATGGATTTGACAAATATTGGTAAGAGCTTACAAACATTTCTATATTAAAATGTGCTAAATAAATATAATTTATTATTATAATTTGTATCAATTGAAATGAAAATATGACAAAATTCATAATTCTGTCATTCCGCCAGGCATATGACAATGTCTCAATTCTATTTTTATTGTGTAAGGATTTAATTTAAAAAATTTAAAAGGTTTAAAACTGTTAATTAGATGAAAATTAAAGGATGGCTTTTATTTCAAGTTCATTATTTAAGAAACTCTTGAAAACATACCTCTTCTCTGAATAGTTAACTCAAGCCCTTTCTTATCCCTATCCCTTTCAAACATTTTGAATGTTGATATCTTTTTTGATGAAATTCATTTGTATGTTATGTATGATTATTTTGTGTAAACGCTGTGATATAGTTTACTATGAAGAGCGTACTAAATACTAGTTATTGTTATCATTATCATTGTTTTTTTTCCAAAGCTGCTTAAATATTGGCTTCAAGGTTATAATCTAATGAAGATAAGAAAGGTCTGTTCTCGCTTGTTATCTTCCAATATATCATCTTCAAAATCTCTATTTTTCATCTCATATTTGTATTATTTCTTTGCATTCATCAAATGCCTTCCCCTATTTTCTCTCTGAATTTCTCCCCTATGTATGCTAAAGAAATATCAAAATAAATGTTTTCAAATGTAATTCAAAATCAATGTGCTTTAATAGAACATTAAAACAAAAATTTAGTTGCTGCATGTTGTAAAAAAATAACAAATGTATTGGTTATTCAGGTATTGTATACCTGTGTATTCATTCCTTTTAAGAAAATGATAAACACTCCAACAATAACCTCTCAATATGTGCCAATCTAATTTTTTATTTACTACTTTCCATTGTTTAATATCCCGATATACACGTAATGTACCCCAAAATAAACCATTACAACACCTCTAAATCAACCCCTATTTAAAAAAAATAGATTCTGAGCTGATCCCTTCATGAAACAAACTTGTAACAGCTCAACTTCTCCTCCTCTTCTTTGATTGGTGGAAAGCTTTCTTACTCTCCACCAATCACAGAGCTCCCCTGCTGTGGACTGCTCCACTCCCACGGGGGAACAACAGGAAATGGCTGCCACTATTCTGGCAGGAAAGAACAATTTTGCGAACTAACGTCACAAGCTACGACCAGCAGCTTACGTTCACTCACTTCTTCACGTTTCCTCTCTCCTCTCAAAAGAAAACGCTCCTGGAAGCAATCTCAACGCTACATTAGTACCGAGTTCTGGGGCCGGTCCATATTTTTTCAAGTGTCCTATAGCGATACGTCAATGTTTTGGAAGTCACACCCATGCACCTTGCTGTGACGATAATATTTAGTTTTCACCTTCTCCTTCCTCTCACCTCCCTTGTAGCTGAGAGGGGGTAGCACACTTTGATCTTTATGATACCTTGTCAAACTCCAGGCAACTTCTCCTCGATTGTTTTGTCCTTTTCCCCTTCATCTAGATATTTCACAATGTTTTCAGTTTATCTTTGAAGTTCATGAATGAAAGGAAAATGACTAATAGAAATGACTTGTGGCCATTTTGCCATGCAGGACATTGATAACTTGGGCTGTTGCGCATGAGATAATCCCTCAGGAACGTCTCTATCAAAACCAGAAACTAAACGCATCCCATATTTTTGAAGAATTTCTACAATTGCACAGATATCGCAACTGAAATCTCTCAATCAATTTCTAGATCAAACACACAACTCAGGTACTCAAAAATCTGTCATGACATTTGTTTTATCACTGGCGGAACATTATGATCCGCAACCATTTGCAAGACCCTGAGGGAATGTTGGGGACAGATCAAATCTTTGTCCAGGGTTGTTTTTTAAATAATAATACTTGAAAAGCATGTACACAGAGAAAATTGTGAATTGTTTAATTATTGTATAAAAATTCATTTCTGATTGAAAGTACCCCAAGATTTAATAGATTTTTTGTCTTCCACAAGATAGATTGATGGTCAGATAAGTAAGCAATCATCATTTGTTTTTGATCAGGTAATAACAATTATCAATGATAATGAGTACTGTTGCAATTATTGGTCAAAATTTAAGTTTTACCATTCAAAATGAAATTCAACTTCAATTTATTGCCTCCTAAATCTATCCTCCTCTTGTATGTAATATCTGATATTAAAAATTGGAAAGAATATTTTACAAATGGGTATCCTACTATCCCACAAGTATGTTAATCAAAATATCTGTCACAATTACAGCAAACTTATTTGACCTTTTTTGGTTAAATGTTGGAAATATTAGTTTCTCTGATGATTCTGTGTCTTGCAATTCTTGATATATTATCTTCTTTAAGTTGAGAGCTCACAACATTCGATTGAATATCACTGTTAAAGATACCTGTACCTTTCAATGATATTGAATCTATTTGTTTACAATCATTAAAACAGAATGAGCTTGAGAGGGTAGCTAGGTAGGCTAATCAATCATCACTAGCTACCTCACGACGACTCACGTAAGCTGAATGGTACGAGAGGAAAGAAAACGGGTCAGTCAAGGTCTTTCAACTCAAAGACTCGTCCTCTCTAAGGACCAAACCATGGTAGCTAAATAGAAATTAATTTGTGCAAATTAATTTGTGAAAAGCCATTAGTCTGGGATCGAGATATATAGTTAGTTTTGATTCCAGACATTCTGTAATCAAATAAAAGTAATATTCTAAAAAGTAAATCTCTTTACTGTAAGATGAAGAATATGCCTTTCTGCATGTGTAGGTATTTGAATTGTATGTGATCAGAAGAAGAATTCAATGCTTCTGTAATCTGAGTTTATGCCAACACAAATTTTCATTTTGTCTGTAAAACTGCAATATATTAGATAACACACATATTCAACAAATTATTAGTTGTATTTATTGGAGGTAAAATGAAAATCTTTGAATACACATCAAAATATATGTTGATTTGTTATTTAGACAAAGCAAAGATAAAATGACGTCAACATAATTCACAAAGCTCATATACTGTTTTGCATCCAATTTCTTTTTTTCTAAATTAACATTTGAGTCTTCCTACACATTGTTGCGATAAAACATCCCTTTACATTCAGTTGATCTCTCCCTCTCCGTCTCTCCCACTGTCTCACTCACTCTCTCTCTCTCTCTCTCTCTCTCTGACTCTGTCTCACTCACTCTCTCTTTCTATCTCTTTCTTTCTGTCTCTTTATTTGTCCATCTTTCCTTGTGTTTTTCTCTCCACCTCTATTGGAATGAAATGTAACTGAAATTGTATTAACCTTCCTTATAATTTTTCTTCATCTCTCTTACCACTTCCTAATTACTTTGAGATTGTGTCTGTCACTTTTACCAAGCTAATTTTATAACAAATTCACTGACTCACGTCTGGAGAGATAACGGAACAGAAAAATCCAAATCCATCATATTTCCTAGCGCTCTCTTCTATAATTCATCTCAAATAGCTTCTTCCTGGATGGGTACTCCAAAAAGCTTTCCAAAGAATTCCTTCCAAGCCTCAACAATCCTCCTATAAAACATGACAAATCAAAATGCTGCCAACAACATCTCCATTTCACAGATTACCCTGATCCACCATTGTGTAAATTTAGCTTGGATGAGTCTAATGGTTGGATCTAGTTGCCATGACAATTAAGGAGCAACCACATAAGCTTCAAGATGATGATCCCTTCAGAGGAAGGAGGTATAGTCTACATAAGTCAGAAATCCACTTTTGATTAAAGCCGTCCTTATAGACTCTAACAAACTGGTTCCTTAATTAAAGGCATGCTTGGCCTAATCATTAATGTTGTTAAAATCAAGTTTTAGGAAGTGAATATATTTATAAAGAAGTACTTATTTGGGCTGATTTATTTTTCATGTTAAAATATAAATTCTGTCTTTCAGAACTGTGTGTCAACCTGACATCTCACTTTCTCTGGGTCTCTCCCTCGTTCATGATTTACATCAACCCTCTCAATTTTTCTTTAACATGTATCCTTCAGGTAGAGTACAAAATAAAATGTGAGATAAATACTCATATAACAAACATTCAAATATAATAAACACTAAAGAAAGCAACAGGAACTCTGTTGATAAACAAATATAAAGAAATTATATTTGATTATTTTTATTT